AATGGACAGAAGACTTCTTTTTCTCCCCCCTCCCTTTTCATTTTGAGGCTGACAGTTCTCGTTTTCTCACAGCCGCGGTGACAGATTGGAATTTGGAAAACATGGGAAACTCCAGAAAAAGGGGGAAGACAAACTGCTTTGGTTTTTACAGCAGTAATTACAGTCAGTTAACACCCGCCTGATGACTGTTTGTGTTTTTATTTACAGACACACATTTACAGACTTGTTACACATGGGGCATTCGCTTCAGTTGATCAATTCGCATCTTTTTCCCACCCTTTTAATTGTTTTGGACCAGCCGAGCGATTGTGAAAATGGACGAGCGCCTCCATTTGGGTGGCGGTTCTGGCCCGGTAACAGTAGCACAGTGTTCAACCCAAGTGTCCGTGTCAGTGAACTGCACTGATGGAAAGAAAGTTGTTTTTCACGCAGTGGGCGGAAATAGATGGTGACAGTGACACATAAAAGGCAGGGCTGAGGTTTAGAGCTGACGTCATGGCAATCAACATTTAGGAGGACTGGACCTTTCAGTGAAAGGAAGCCACACAGAGCAGCCCACAAGCATTTCACTAACAGTCTGAGACCGGGTACCGCAAGCTGTACATGAGCGTGCAGACAGGGAACAATAGGGCTCCACAGGCGCGTGGTTATATGTAGTATAAAAGCGTGAAGTTATAAAAGTCTTCGTGCATGCCAGTGCACTGCTTCACCTTTGCAGCTCTGTCAGATTTGGAGCCACATGACTTACTGAATCCCCCAAACTGAGCTCGAAGGCATGAAACTCTATACTCCGTCTCTTTTTTAACATCTCTTTTTAAACTTTCTCTCTCTCACACACACACAGCTCCTGTCACACAGGCAAAAACACATATAGGCACCCTTCACATCCCCGTCTCCCTGCTCCTCCGCCCTTCCTCACACACCCAATATCACTTAAGAGCCAACCACCAGATCCCATTTTTCACCACAGAGCTGCGGATTAGAAAAGAAGGCATTTCCCAAACGGTCTGCGGCTTATGTGATGACATGATTGTCATTCAGTTTAATTCCCTCCGTTCTCTTTAGATTCCTGCTCCCCTGATTCTGGTGCTACAATAAAGCACAGAAAGTAAATAAGAGTTAAAAAAAAAAAGAAGAAGAAGAAAACACGAGGCTCCTGTAGGGACATGCTTCCTCGAAAGGCATTTTAGATTAAATTGTCAAGATGAAAGACGTATAGAAAATTGTTATGTGCAGCTGGTTTCCAGTCGGGGAAGGCTTTTGTGCATTTTTGTTTATGCAAAACATATCCATAGGCTTATACGTGCATAACTGCTACGTAATTGAAGCTCCTGGTTTTGGGGTATTGCCCAGATTTAACTCCAGTGAAGTCAGAATGAACGCCAGCGAACTCTCCCTCAGCTATAAATTATTCCCATGTTGAACTCGAGGAATGATGTGAGCCTAGCACTGTCTAATGCTTCCAAGGCCGTTCAAAGTCTTGCATAATCTCCGAACATCTCTCCTCTCAGATCTTTACTACATTGATCCATTTAGTGATGTCTCTATAAAGTTGCAGAGCAAGTCTGGGACTCCGAAGGTCCCGCTGGAGGCAAAACAAAGAAGAAAAGTTTGATACACCTACGTGAAGGTGGCGGGACACGAGGGATGGTGGGTAGGAGGAGAAGAGGAAGCTGTGGGGGCAGAAAAAAGTGTGCGGCTGGAGAGATCAGAGTGATTTTGTTCAGTCCTCCATCTCCTCCTTCACGCTGTCCATCAGTCATTCTCACTGAGGTTGCTTACATTTGCAGATAAAAGTTAGGAAGGTGGGGCCTCGCAGCTGCTTTGTTGTGGGCCTTTGAATTCATCCTCACTGCCTGAGGGATCCACCACTGAGCATATTGCATGTAGGAAATAGTGTGCATGGCATCTGTTGTTGCTTCAAAGAGAGATTCAGGCACAACGTGCACATTACGAGCATAAAACTTTCTTTTTGACAAGAAATCTAGGCGAAAAGCGAACATTCATCAGAATCAGAGGGGGACGCTCTTTTGTCCGTATATACTACTTTGCAGTTAACTACTACGAAATGTCTTGCTGATATTCATTCCACACACACACACACACACACACACACACACACACACACACACACACACACACACACACACACACACACACACGGTTCAGGCTCCATTTAAAGGAAAATACAGCCTTGCCTCTGCACTGCTTGATGAGTATCTCCTGGTTTCAAACATCTGTCATGATGGTTTTAAGGCGGGGACTCCAAACTCATTTTATATTGTGGGCCACATGCAGCCCACTTTGATCTTAAGTGACCAGTCAAACTCTTCTTTTTGATACTGTAAAATTTAATCACACATTTAATCCCTGGGATATTTTAACATAAAAAAGCGCAATTTTAACAAAACACCTCAATTTTCTTCATGATAAAGAAATGCTGCTTTGGGCCTAAAATGTAAAAAGAAACATGGGAAATTACAGAAACAGTTCACTTAGCTTATTGCACAAAATTTTTGTCTTTTGTTTTGGAAGGGGGCGACTTATGGTGAACCCACTGTAAATATCATACATTTCTATAGTACATAGTGAAAAAACTGGAACTTTCTTTCATTTAACGGTTAATCTTTTAATTATTTACTTTGGTGTAGTATGAATGGACATGGAGGAAGTCTTTATCAATGCGAAAAGCTGACAAACTTGTGAAAATAAAGTTAAAAATCTCAAATGTATGCCCTTCTTCACATTTCCAAAGCCATCCATTGGGCAGGATTGGAGTCTTTGGCAGGCCACTCTGGCCTCAGGGCCTAATGTTTGACACCCCTGCTTTAAGAGTTCTGCTGGGTTTTGCAAATGGGCGACAGCTTCTTCCTCACACTGGAAATTACACAACGAGAGTGGAACATTCAGCTTTTTGCTGTGCAGGATTTGTAATTTGCTGTAATGGCTGACACATGTACGCGCCATCGGCAGGCTTCCGGCTATGGAAATCTCTATCTGTGGTGCACACAGGGATGCGGCGCCAGCACGCACCTGCAGGCACAGCGGTGGGAAATATAGTCTGGACTGCACACATGCATACATAAAAACGTGAGCACACAGAGATAGAGAGGAGCATACAGGCAAACACACCCACAGATTGATATACTGTATTATCCGACCTCAATCCTATATACACAGATGCAGCTCACGACTTGTATATCACATTTGTTTCTTCAACACTGCTGCTGCCTGTTTGTTTCTTTAATCTCACTGTTTATATTTCTGCGTCCAAACCTGCCAGTATAACTCCAGCTAGGGCAATTAGCATGAGGGAAAAGCAAATAAAACGTCTGATGAAAGCAAAGCCCGGATCCTGACCTCACTCTGACTGAATGTGGCACTACAGCCAGCGGACGGTCATTTCCAAAAGCTGTGAATTCCTCGATGCCAAGCTGGCCTCTTTTGCAGTGGATTTACAATGGCTGTTTGTGTGTCAAAACATATCATTATTCTATATTTGCCTGGGTCATGTACGAATCCACAGAGACCTTTGTTTCAGCAGACGGCGGAAACTGCAATCACGGGCTCTGCAATTCTTAACTTTGAAAGCTTTTCCTTAAAGGAAAAGTTAGACACTGCGGGACAGAGCTATTAAGAGACTTTCAAGACTTAGATGAAAAGATTGATACCACTCTCCTATCAGGATGCTAAGAATACTAATAGCAATCAGCTAACTTGGCGCAAAGACTGAAAATGGTCGGGAAAAGTCTGAAAAGTCACAAAATTCACCCAGGATCTACAGAGATCACGTTATGTGTCACTTCTGTAGTTTGCACAGAAACTGTAGAAGTAAAAAGTGTAAAAACACATTTTTTTTTGCACTTTGGAGCGAAACATAGAGCGTCTGCTGTTTTTAGCCTCGCACTTCACACCCTACAACCGCTGACACTCTCTTGCCATTTTTGATTTTCTATACACACCAAATACAATATGTTAATAAGCCAGCTCCTTCTGTTACCTTTAAACACAACTGGCAAGATGTTTCACTCGTACAGAAATCAAAAGAGCGCATTTTCAAAAATGCCGAACTCTGTTTTCTCTGAGGATGTTAAAGAACGAAGGTGAATGATAATAAAAAGCATAAAATTCTCAATTAGTCAGTGCAGTGCCAAGTGGATTTACTATATCTGTCTGCTCCAGGGCTGAGCGTGTCACAGACAGATTATCTACCCTTTAACCCCCCCCCCATCCTCTCATCCGTTCAAACAGCCGGTGTGTTAATCAGGTTCAAAGTCTGAATTCATCTCGTTGCCTGAAGAAACTATATCTGCTCCAGCTCGGAGTCAGGGGAATGTCCCAGAGCCAATCCTTCCTGCTCACCCCCAAAGATGACACACTCAGTCTCAGATGCTGTATTTATGGGAAGAGGGTACAAGAGAGATATGGGTTGCAGGTATCCCCTCCTCATGTTAGGCCTATTATTTTTGGGGGGGAGGTTTGTGCCAAGAGACCATGTGTTGAGCTTCAGAGTGCAAGAAGAGTACAAGAGGTTTTAGATAGACGTCCTCGGGGCTCGTGTTATTCACAAAGCTGACTGGGATGTCTATCATGAGTTCAAAGGGGCGAGGAAGATTTTCTTTGGTGGGGAGTCATCTTACATTTGTAAAACACTGACGTGGGCTCTTTAGAATAAAGTGCTCATCATTTTTTCCCACATTGCTGAGCTAAAGAAGCTAAATCATGTGCCTTACACTTGACTTGACATAAAATGACTAAATTCTTTATTAACTTATTAAAAAAATCATTTTCCTAATGGTGCTTTAATACGCTACAGTTGTTTTCTTATGATGATACATACTGTAATGATTTATTAAGAATGTTATGCCTCATAAATTTTTAATTATACAGGATAAAAAACCCTTCATCCTATCTGTGCTGGAACGATCTATCTATAAGATGTCACAGCAGGAAAAGGGTGGGGACATGTAAAAGGAAAAAGGGAGGGCTGTAGGGGGTGTAGAAGAAGCAAAGAAACCTTGAATGAGAGCTTCCAGGACCCTAGAGCGCACAGACACAACAAGCTGGAAAGTCTCAGCTAACTGAGTTTTAAAGGACAAACGATTCAAAATGATCAGAGGACATCTTTAGTAGCTCTTTTCTGAATTGTGAATGTAACTTCTGACAAGTCCACTGTGCCACTCCACTGCTGAGAGAAGCTCCCCGTGTGATGGATCAGCTTTGCGCAACAGGTTCTCCAAAGAACATTTAAGCTCGAACTCTGATCCATGTAGGGAACAAAAAGAAGCATGCTGTCACCGCTTTGGCCCTTTGGCATCGAGCAGGAGATCAACTCATGGGATGTAGTGGATGCAGATTCAGGGTCAACTTTGGGAAGGCGCTGTCCAAAGTCTCGGTCTTTTTCACCATGGTCCTAATCTTCACCTACTTCTTCTACTGCCTCACCGGATTTTGTGATTCGGCTCCAAGAGCTGCATACAGACAAGAAACTTCAGACTTGGACTATGACATTTTGGACGATCTGCGGCCACCCCGGCGTCTCGTCCCCGATGCGCCGTTTCAGCGGAACCGCACAGGCTCCGAGGACGCTCCGGCTGAGCCGTCACAGAATACGCTGGACAGCGAAAAGGAGACTGTCCAGAGCAACGGCATCCCCGTGTCCAACACTTTCGGGACCAAAAGGTTTCCGCAGGCGATTATAATCGGCGTGAAGAAGGGAGGGACACGCGCCCTGCTGGAGTTTCTCCGCATCCACCCGGACGTGAGAGCGTTCGGCGCGGAGCCGCACTTCTTCGACAGGTTTTACGATAAAGGGCTGGAGTGGTACAGGTAAGGATGAACGCACGAATCCACTCATACAGAATGTGGCTGGCTTTTAGCCCAGGTTTGACCGCAAATCATAAAATGTAAAAACTGTAAATCGTGGACCATCGTAGGCAGTCCAAAACTTTAAAACGACACAGGGTGTCTGCTGTAAAAACCGATGTGCTCTTTATAAGTGAATCCGACAGGTTTATTTGGAAAAAGTTTGAACACGATTGCATATTTGGATGTCATGCGGGCCAATGCAGGATTGTATATGCTGTAAGGGTAAAGGGTCAGCTGAGCAGCACTGATGTTTTTGCTGACATCTTATCACCTGTGCAGATGTGCTGATTTCCTCCGTCAATAGAAGAGACAGCAATGCATTGGCTGGTTGATAGATTCGGATCAGCTTTAGACAATGCTCCCTCTCTTGTGCTGCTCTAGATCAAAAGGGCTAGTGAGGTCCCAGAGGAGCGTTTCATCATCTTGACAGTCATCTAAACACCATTTATTCACTTCAGCATGACATCCTGTATAGTGTTCCCCTTTTTTCTCTGCAACAGAGCCACAAAGAACCCATGCAAACATCACATCGATTACTCTAACATGTAAAAACTACAGCAAATACCTCATCATATACCATATAAAGCAACTTGGTGTGATTTGGAGCTATATAAATAACATGAAATTGAATTGAATTAGAGAATTTTAAAAAAGCAAAAACACAAAAATCTGATTGACAAGGAGAGCAAACACTGAGTGATGATCTTAGTTAATGTGATCGCACAGTTCCTTTACAAAAGGCACATAAAATGTTCATCAGCTACTGTCATACTGACAGCACATGATTTGGGGTGGCCAGGCTGACCAGAGCCCTCATTTGGGTGTAGTTAAGGCCCTAAAGAAGGATTTATTTGTCCGTGAAGCTGGTCCTGATCATCTCCATATGTTCTACGAGCTTCTGGACATGATCCCAGCTGAGCAGTGTGTGAGAACACAATGCCATTTGGGGACCTTTAAGCAAGAAAGGTGTCATAACTACACAGAGGTTTGACAGGGTAAGGATCATGAATAACAGGCACTTTGATAGCAAGATGGTGTAATTTAATCTTCCTTTGCCTTATTTTCTAAACCCCCCTTTGCTGCCTTTTAATAGGGAACATAAGGACACATGGAAACGGTTTCACCACTGATAATTTTAGCATGTCGTTAAATTTCCTCTCTCTCACTTTTTCTCTGTGCACACACAAACACTCATATATACCGTATGTATGTTAGCAGTCTTAAGTACTATGTTACCTATCCTCTGTCTCTCCATGCCACATTTACAACTCATCCTTCTCCCCAGATTCTTCCTTGTGACTTTCTCCTTCTCTCCTTGCTTCTCTTCTCCTCACTCTCCCTTCAGAATAGCAGAATGTGAAAATACCTGTGGCCAAACTGGTGTTTCCGGGGCATTTTTTTTTAATGTGTGTTTTAATTAGGCTGACTTGTGCTGTAAAGCTGTTAGGCCTTAATGGTGTAACACAGCACTGCCACTAACACGGCCTGTAAAAACACGGCCTGTAAAAGGTAGATCAGTCGTGCAGTAATATCGCCTAAACCCAACGACAAATCTAAGTCACCACATGCAACATGAACATTTTTCAAAGTGTAGCCAAGTTAAGAGGTGTAATTAAAGTAAAGTGATCACCTGTAAGTGTTTAAGAGATTAAATGGGAGTTCTGCATGGATATAACTGATAATACCTGCATTTGTTCACACTCACAGTATCAGAACGTGAATGTGAATTATGGTTTTGTCTTTTGCTGTGATTTTTTTTAAAGAAGTGAACTTCACTGAAAGTTGAGGCGGAGAAAAGTTGGAAGGATCAATGCAACAATGGAGAGCGACAGCAGCAACATGATACCGGATGAAATCACTGAAAGATGATTCCGCTGTTGTCACTGAATCGCAAAAATTGAGCAAATCTGTTTGCTGTCATCTGCAGTGACCCACAAAGAAGCCGCTGGAAGTTGTAGACAGCAGCATTTTGTGTATGTGTGTATGTGTGCGTGTGTGTGTGTGTGTGTGTGTGTGTGTGTGTGTG